AAGTAAAAAGAAAGAAAGAAAGGAAGGAAAAAAGAAAGAAAGAAAAAGAACAAAAGAGAGAGAGAGAGAGAGAGAGAGAGAGAGAAAGAGCGAGAAAGAAAAAAGAAAAACACACATATATCACAACATGTGACCATCAAAGACAAATCTGGGTTTTCATACTTTTTTCGCACACTTAAGCAAACAAAACATTTAAACAAACACACACACACACACGCACACACACACACAAACATACAAAAGTATTTTCATCCAACTTGAACGAACAAAACACAAATTATTTCGTTATTTAGCAGCATCTACTGATCTACTGCAACATATTGGTTGAGATGTAAGAAGAACAGAATGATTGTCATAGTAAACTAACTGTATGTTTGTCACAGATCATTTCAATGGAATAACTCGGAAACATATTTAAGTCATTACATTTGACAACCAAAACAACACACACACACACTCACACACACACACACACACTCACACACACACACACACACACACACATATATATATATATATATATATACACACTAAAAGCTTATATATATATATATACATATATATACTATGATCAATATATATATATATAATTATGAGTACATATATATAATTATAATTATAAATATATATATATAATTATAATTATATTCGTTGCTTATGTCATCAAAATTATTTCAGAAGTTTACTTCATTACACTAACAACTCTTCTTACGAACAATTTAACCATTGAGTTGCATGTTTTTGGTTTATGTCTAGGGTTGTCTTAAATAATTAAATAAATATATATTATATATATATATGTGTGTGTGTGTGTGTGTGTGTATGTGTGTGTGCCTGTATGTTTGTGTGTGCGTGTATGATATATATACATATATAAATGTATGTATAATCAAGCAACAAATCTCATACATACACACATACATACATTCATACATAGATAGATGCATGCTTGCGTAAGGATGTTTAAATTTTAAATGTTAGCGCCTCTATTCATTTAAAGGGCAACTTGAATATCATGCGCTTAGTTTCCAATGTAGATTCTCTAAATGTAGTTTTAACTCTAGTACTGCTACTGAATTACTTAATTAGTATTACAGCTACTATTAGTTACTAGATTTATTATTATTATTATTAAGTATTAAGTAATGGTGAGAACATATTCGGTTTTACTTTGTAAGTTTTTTCGCAGAGTAATTCATCAACCTATTGAGTTTGTGGTACTTGTAGCAGTAATTTTAAAGCAAATTTACTTACAAACACATACATTTTAAAGTAAATTTACACATTTTACTGATTTACTAGGTTGTGGTGTTTTTCTTATCATTATTATAAATTTTAACTTCAGTTGTAAATATTTTTGGAAAAATTTTTTGGTTGCAACTACTGTTAAGTTAAATTGATCTATCCGGTAATAATAATAATTATTAATTAATAATAATAATAATAACAACAGATAAATTACAACATCAACAACAACAATTGTAACAACAACAATAATAATAAAAATAATTTTGTCGTTACTAGAAGAAGATTCACCATCCTGCAGTTAGTAAAATAAAAATTCTCAAATACTCACATTTTTTTTGGCATTGAAGTTAAAATTTCAAGTTTCCAGTAGTAATTACTTTCGGTATTTTCTTACTCGTCGGTACTCGTCGCGAATACCGTCGGTAATTTAAAATAAGATATATATTTTGGGTACTGTGGTTGTCTGCCTGCTCGGTATAGTTTCTCGGTATCATAAGATGAGTTCTGAAGACGTCACCAATCCAGACGATGACAAGAAAAACAACAATAACAACAATAAGAATAAAAAGAATAATAATAAAGATAAAGATAAAAATAACCATAATAATAATAAAGGCAGTGTCACCTGTGCTACTATTACCGTAACCAGAGTCGTGGTCTGTGACGTCAGCGGAAGTAGCGGTGCTAGTAGTAGTAGTAGTGGTTTCGGTATCAGTAGTGGTAGTAGTAGTAGTATCAGCGTGGGACCGATTAGTAGCAGTTGCATCACCGCCAAGTTGGGGCAGTTCGAGACTCCGTACCGACTCCCTCCAACTCCGAAGTGAGTTTTGATGATGATGATGAGGATGGTGGTGATGATGATAATGACGATGATGGTGATGATGATGATAATGATGACTGTAACGATGATGACGATTGTGATGGTTAGCAAATTTATGATGAAAGATTAATAAAAATGATGAACATGGCGATGATGGGGACAAATTCATTTATACAAATACGAGTAGGTTTGTACTAAGAACAATAATTAAGAGTAGTAACAGACAGATAGACATTGAAATAAAACGAAATAATTTTTTAAAGCTTCAAATTAATTATTACATTATTATAATTATAAAAAATTATTTATAAAAAATATTCAAAAGGTTGAAAATACAGAAAAGGGCCGCCAGTTCAAAAGCAGGTCCAGATACAGAAACGAAAAAATTCAAAGCGAGAAGAAAATTAAACTTCGACTCACCAACCGGTCAATCTCCAACTTCCGAACTCTCAAGCCCATCTCAGCAGATGACCACAATCACCAGCATCGAAACAACTACTGCAGCACAGATCACCATCAGCCAGTCACAAATCACCGGCACAGAAATTTCCATTGAAATTCCATTCCCCCGCTTTAGAGATGATGACGACGAATCGGTGATCAGTAGTGGCAGGTCGGACCCGGTCTCGACCGGTTTGATTACCGGGGGTGAAGAAGAAGAGGAAGAGGAAAAGGAAGAAAGAGTAGAAGAAGAGAAAGGTGAAGGTGAGCTTGATGATAGCGGATTTCAGTCGAAAGATATTTCAAAGGTAAGTCAACCGGGTGATGATGACGATGGTGATGATGAGGAGGTTGGTAAAAAAGAGGAGGAGGAATTGTCAGCGAATGCAACCACATCTTCATCAACATCATCATTTGCAACTACATCTTTATCAGCTTCATCAGCTTCAACCACATCAGCGGCAATAATTACAACATCTACTACTACTAAAGAACAATCGCTTCAGACAACATCTCAATTAACGAGCTCAGCATCACCACTATCATCATCATCATCATCATCATTACCCACAGTGGCAACATCATCATTATCATCATTGACAACTACGTCCGCATCACCATCCACATCATCAGCACCAGTAGAAAGTACATCTAGCACATCTCTTGCACCGGCCAGTGTCTGCACTGCTGACATAGTAACCGAATCCACTTCCAGAATCCCTTCTGCTTTTTCGGCAAAATCAGCTTCCATCTACTCAGACATCTGCTCCAAAACAATCCCATTTTCTATTACCACTTCCGCTTTTACTCTCAAGCCGTCAACTTCTGGTTGGACAAGACAGTCAACTATTTCCGGTTCCGACCTACCTTCTCCTGTCGCCAGTAGCTCGGCACCAACAGAAACTTCAACGGCAGCAGAGTTGAGTGTGGCTGCCACAACTTCAGCAGCAGCAGCAGTAGCACCTTTGGTACCTGTCAGTTTAGTTACAGATCCCAGTTCAACTAAAAGTCTCTTCACTACCATCAGTTCAGTTACATTCGCTGGATCTTCCTCCTCCTCCTCTTCCTCCTCATCAGCTGATTCCACAATTATGTCTAGCAGGGAATCGGTTGAGTCCTACCTGTCCGAGCACCTGGCAAGGAAGTCCCAGGAGTACAATTTTGATTTCACGAGCGGCAAACCATTCTCTCGCAAGAACGTCGCCGGCCAGAAATATGAATGGTCGCGAATCAGCAAGAGGCAAAAAAGAGATGATGATGACGACGACGACGATGATGGAGATGATGATGACGACGATGATGACGAAGGAGCTGAACATGGGCAGAAGAAAAAGGACGATGAATGAGATAATAATATCACCACGTTGAGCTGGTTTGAAATTAATTGAAAGGAGTTATTTAATATTTGTCCTTGCTTATGATAAAAACTATAGATTAAAAAAATTCTAAATGAGAATAAGTGGGTTATCGTAGAGTTAAGAAGAAATGAAATTAAAAAAGTTAATAATGAATAATACGTCTACATACTTTCTAAGTCTTATCTTGATGTCACTGTCACTCTAGCTAGCGTAGTTATATATATAACATTAATTGTCGTCATGATTATTATTGATGTCGTAAACACATACATGTATAATTTAACCTATATGAAATTAGTATTTAAGTAATAAAAATTTTGAAATTGTTACGCGAACACGCACACACACACGACGCACACACACGTACACACACACACGACGCACACACAAACGTTTGAGTTTGAATTGTTGAATGAATGTGACATGGTTATAAATATTAATTTCAGATTATTAGCGAGTGTGTGAAGATGGAAATGTCGATTAAATTAATTTTTTTGTAGAAATTTCTTCATTTTTTGGTTTTTTCTTGTACTTATGATTTTTTTTTCTTTACATATTTTTCATCTCTTCATTAGCAAAATTGTGAAAGCATTCAAAATTAGTTATTTTTCAAAAAAAAAAAACAAAAAACTCACTTGAAGATTATAAAAAGAAATCATACTAACATAAGTGTATATTTATGATCAAGAATACGTGCACAACATGTTAAATAACTCATTTTACAATAGCAGAAATAATAAAATATAATGCGTCGATGGAAAAAATATTTTCATTTAATTATTCAGTCAAAATTTGAGGTTTTATATTTAAAAATTAAAATCCCATTCAAGTGATTAGGAGGAAAAAAATTGTCGACATTATATGTACAACTTCAACTTATTCTATTCAACTAACGTACGAATATATACATAAATACAAAATTTTTCAAAAACCGATACTTTCTCGAATACTTGATTACAGTCGATGATAAAAAAAACTCTACTCATCACCTATTATGTCCCTTTTTAAACGGTTGTATTTCGAATCCTAGAATACCGGCATCTTTCATGAATTCGTTTATAGATTCCATAGGTAGTTTCAGCGGGTCATCCACTATTGAGGTTCGAGTTGAAACATCCAACAGAGCCGAGGTTATTTCTGTTTTAATTAATTAATTAACTAATTAATTAGTTGGTTAATGCACTAAATGTTGGATTGATTGGGAGTGCTATTGCAGCGACTATGTTGGAATGCAAAAGATCCCTACTTGTCACATGAAATCCGCGTGTGTATCTGCTGTTGTTGATAGCAGAGAATTACAATACTCCAAATAGAATTGTGAAAATACTATTTGCTAGAAATTTACTACAAATTCAGATTTTTGATGTGAAACTTAAATACGCAAAACCTATCAAAACCTATACATATCAGTGGACTTTATTAATTTAAGATTTGGAAAACAGTTTATAATATTATAATACAATAAATAATAATCCATTAAATTATATGAAAAATTTATTAAAAACCTTCTCTGAGCAAGGCCATTTTACATTGTTCATGCGACCATTGCAAGACTGAAAGGTTGAATTCAACGTTGGTTTCACTGGTTCTGACTGACTGTAGATAAGTCTTAAACAATGGCCTAACAAACTGACTAAACTGTTGAAATTTATGATTAAAATAAATTATAGTATAATAATAATGATTTTATTATATAATATATCAATAAATGATATATTAAAATTTTTTAAATTATTATCGCTAACGATCCAGAATTTCCAATTTTTCAACGTGTTGGTCTGAATGTAGCAGTCCAATAAACTTTCCATTGATGGGGACGACGATGAGGAAGACGACGAAGACGATGATGAAGAATATGATGATGAAAATGGTGAAGATGATGAAGAAAATGACGAAGACAATGATGAACTGGAAGGAAGACCGGTTTCAGGCAGTTTAGATTGTTGCTCCCTGTCCATAAATAAATAAAAAAAACTTCCTAATTTGATATTAAATAAAGTTTACGTCAAGAATTTATAAAAAAATAATACAATTAAAAATAAAAAGTGTAGAATTTTAAACATAATAAGCAGAATTCCAAACATAAAATGTAGTATTTTCAAACGGTTATATTGTAAGTAAGAAACTACAGGTGTGTTGCGACACCTAATAATAACAAAGGCGTGCAGTAATAGCAGTCATTCGGAAATAAAAACCATTTTAGAAATAAATTAAGGACAGTAATACTGATTAATTTTTATTTATTTAAAATATTTCACAAAATATATATTCCTCTAACTGACTTGATGTCTTTTCTAAGTTGTTTAATTTCTCTTTTTAGCATCTCAGTCTGTTCACTCAAATCCTTATGCTCCAGCTTCATCTGGTTGACTCTGTCGACAGCTATTTGGCAGACGACAAGTTTGTAAATTATTTTTTTTAAATTTAACGATTGATAGATAATATTAACATAATATTAGCATAACATTAACATACATTAACATAATATCAAAAATAAATAGTTGTAAAATATTAATAACAATAATAACAACTTTTTACTTTTAAATAAGACAGAGGCTTTAGACTTTTTGCTGTGTGTAGGGAAATGGTGATAGTGCGATAAAGATGACGACGACGACGATGTAGACATTGTTGTTGGCAACAAAAGGACTAACTCATCTAAAAAATTCTGTTTTTCAGACATTTGTTAGTAAATTTGCGTAATAATATTATTTAAAGGTCATATATTTTATGAAATTTTAAATTGTTTTTTTTTACCTAAATAATAATCATTCTTACAGCAAAAAATTTCGTTTTAATAGTTGAATTAGAATAAAAATGTTACTAAAACCACTCACAAGAACGCCTTTACATTTTTGGTAATATAAACTTTGATATTTCGCGTCAAATTTATTGGGCAAAGTGAAAATGCAAGAAAAAAATGAACAAAAATGAAAAATTGAAACATTTTTTTACCTGGATTTTACTCCTACGCCGTTGTTCTGCATTTATGTGAGATGGTCTCTTATGCCTAGGTATTTTCTCGACGATATTCGCATTCCAACTCGACTCACACTCGCTAATTTTCTTCCTAACTTTTCTTAGAACCGGTTTTTCAAAAGAACTCTCGTTACCGACAGGCTTGTCATCGCCATTGTTACTATAATTGTTGTTGTTGTTGCTGCTGCTGTTTGGATAGTTTCTGGCTTTATTGCAAACTATTTTATCTGAGTTATTATTATTAACGGCGTTGAACAGGCTCATGGCATCATTGTTCTGAAAGATTTGTGCACCTAGCTCAAATTTAAAATTTTCTTTTGATTCCTCAGTTCTAACTCCGCCTCTACTGCTACTTCTGCTGTTGTTGGCGCTGTCGTTAACTGCAGTGGTTGTCATGATGTTGCTGCCCGTCACTACACCACTATTGTTGCTATTTCTTCTGGTGTTGTATCGCTCTTTAGACCATTTTTTCCTGCGACTTTCACTCGATGACACGTTGACTGTCTCGTCATCCATGTTGCCGACGATGTAGTTGCTGTGGCTGCTGTTATATCCACTGTTGTTGTTGATGGTGTTGATGTTGGTCTGGTCTTTGTACATCATAACGCCTTCCATGTTTTCATCGATCGAACGTTTTTGGTTTCTTGATGATCTAGTGTCGGACAATTTGAAAAAACTTTTTTCACTTTTCAATTTCGAATCATTTTCTGCCTCGGCTGTTGACGTTGCTAACTCGATGTTCACGCCGCACATTGGCGAAACTGCTGCAGAGGGAAGGATGTCTTGAGTCGGTGTCGGTATTGGCGAGTTGGTGCTGGACTCGTGTTGGTGGGCATTGTAAAATATCGAATCGAATATTAGGTCAGTGGTTAGGTCGATCTGATCGGAGAAACTTTGAAATGCACTGTCGCCTTGGAAATCATTTAGACACTCTTTACTGGCGTTGATGATGTGATTGTCGTCAGTGTGGTTGCCGGTTACTTCAATGTGGTGTTCAATGCTATTTGGGTTTTGTGCAGTACCGCTGATAAGATGGGGTTGATGAAAAGTCGAGATGATCTGATAGTTCTGTTGTGGCTGCTCACAAAGATGATGCTCTTGATGATTTTGATAGAAAAGATGTTTCTGAAAATGTTGCTGCTGCTGGCGATAGTGATCTCTGGTCTCCTCGATATCGAAACAACCGGTGCCGTCAATATGGAACTGGCGATGGCTGGATTCGTCCAGCAAATTTTCAAGATGGTCGATGCTGTTCTCACCTCCATGAAAATTACTAAACTGCTCTTCCTGATTGCACAAATGCAGCAAATCATTCAGCCCGACATCCTCACACACTTTCGAACCATCCACGCCACCTCGGTTCGTAGAGACATCGATTATTACGTCACCGATGACGTCATGAATAGCTTCTTTGTAATCGTGGCTCTCGTCATTTAGGAGCTGACAGAGATGTGTATCGATGCTGCTATCGTCCACCAAATCACCGACAACCTGATTGAGAGTCGGGAATTCGATACTGTCGCTATCGATAAAGTTAGTAATCGCCGGTACTTGCGCTAAATCATTACGGAAATTATCGACGATGAATGCATTCGAGTTTTTAAAAGTAGAAATGCCCGATATTTTGTCCTCATCACCATTAAACGGTTTCGGATAGTCGGTTTTTGAGTTGGACGTTGCCGTCTGATGGTTCGTTGAGCTGAGCGGTTGAAATTTATTATCATCCAGTTGATCATTGTAGCTTTTGAAGTTACTAAAGTAGTTGATATTACCCTGGCTGCTAGGGTTATTACTATGGCTATGGTTATTATGGTTGTTATTACTATTGTTGTTGTTATTTTGCGTAAAAATATGATTATTGTTGTTGTTATTTATAAAAGTGTAGTTGTTGCCGCTGCTGTTGCTGTTGTAGATGTTTTGATTGCAGACGTTCGCGGACGATAACAGCTTCAAGTTCTAATAAAGAAAATGATGGATATTAGTTAGATTTGTTTACCAAGGGAACAAATAAAATTATGTGGATCACTTATGTGTGTGCGTGTGGGTCTGTCTGTGTGTATGTGTGTGCGCGTGTGTGTCACCATATCTTTCTTATTTATTTAACAGTACAAACACTACTACTAGTACTACTACTACTGCTAATAATAATAATAATAATAATGGCTTACCGCGTTAATACGTAAAAATTTGAAATGTTTTTCACGTTAGCAAAAAATTTTCAAGTGGTCTTGAATTAAAAAAAAATAACTCAATATAATAACTATAAACATTGCATAGGCGTTCTTTTTAGTTCACAACATGGTTATAATCATTCTAGAATCCGGATAGAAAATTTTCAATGATAACAATTTGTATTATGCAAAAGTATGTAAGTAGATAATAATACCTATTAGCGCTCCAGACAAAAATATGGAACAAGCTGGTTTTTAAAATTTTTGAAAAATGCTGATAACTTTTTTACAATTTCACATTATTTTTACTTATTTCCTCACTCTGTCCTATAAAATGGCCAAATATAACATTAACTCTATATTAAAAATTTCTCAAAATTTCTTTTTATTGGAAGCCTTCAAAAAATGCAAATTACGATAAATTTGCTAAAAGGTATGTAGTAGCAGTTTTAAAACTAAGTCCCTCCCTTTTACTAGGGCACTGGCAAAAATACTTTTACTAGTACATTAGCAAAATATTTCAACATTTATATTTGTATTTGATGTTTATTAAAAAATTTGTAAGAATGAAACTTCTTCCGTGCTTGTTTCATATTGCAGACAGTAACACACAGAGCAAACTTTTTTGCCCGCTCTGTTGTTAAAACAGATTAGATCGTTGACGTCTGTAAACAAACATCCATTATTCCCAGTATGTACGTGTGTATGTACGTGTCTGTGTGTACGTATGCGTGTGTATATGTAATCATACATACGTGTAATTCTAGCTGCCTTTTATACGCTTCATTTCATGATGTACCTACATAGCTCTGTCTATGGGCGGTAGCAATAGCATTTTAGTACAGTAAACATCACGTTTCTTTATACTAAATGTTAGTGCTGTTAACATTGAAAAAGTAACATATGTATGTATATATTTATGTGTATCTGTGTGTGTTGTGTGTACATATGTGTGTGTACATATGTGTATGTGTGTATATACACAGACGGAGTTTGTATATAGTATGAAATTAATTCGTATCATTGACATGACATAAAGATCAGTGATATATTGTCGTTGTTGACTGCCTCATAGAGTTATTAACAATTAACAGCGGGTTATAACTTGTAATAAACACACACCACACACACACACACACACACACACACATGTATATATGTAAATATCTTTAGTTAGATAGCCGAACTGACACTACTGTACTAGTGTTTTGTGTTTGTGTGTACTTAAAAGATGGCGAAGTAGCGGTAGAATTTTTCTCTACCTCCCAATCGACCAAATATCAGGGAATAATTAAACAACGTCGCGGATCACATAGGGACCCCGTAGAAATAATTATAAGAACGCTTATACCACCAACAAAAATAAAATAACATCTATTCTTGTTCATTTAAGGCCACTCTTGAATTAGGTCACGATCCTATGATGATCAACACGTGATTTCACATCAGCCAATGATATTTTGAGAATAATTTTATTTATAGATCATATATAGGTCGGAAGAAATGTATAAATATAAGTGTTGAACAAGCTTAAGCTTTCAGCTTAAGGTTTGCTTGGTAAGAAGTAAGAAGGTCAATTTTTTTCGTATACACGATAAAATTATATATCCTTCAAAATGCCATTATATGTTTAAAAAAATGTATGCGAAAATGAGATCTGGTCTGACTATTTTATCAAAAAATATAATAAAAGCGTATTATAGTGCGGTTACATACAGCGCCATGTATTGAAAAATGTTAATGAAACTACTGTTAAAGTGTGCCGACGTGTTATAAGATAAGTTGAGTTTAGAAAATTTTCAAATGTGAAATTTAACTTAACCTTGTTCGAGTTAGATTCTTGTAGTAGCTGGTAGTCTTCCAGGTGTAAAGAGTCCAGTTCATTGAGGTCGGGAAAGTCAAAATCACGCATACCCATCTTTGCTTCTTGATGTCAGAAAATTCTTTACTGGCGGACAGTTTTTTAATTAGCTCATTAAGATTTTGAAACAAACATTTTTTAGTTGCTAAATAGGTGCTGCAAGAATTATGTATCAACCTCCATTCAACTAAACTAAACGAAAATAACCATTTGCATTTGGTTTTTAAGAGAGGGAGAGATAGATCGGACTTTGGCGAGAGTAAGTAAGAAAAAGAGATCTAGATGAGTCTAAATGAGAGAGCGTTTGCTCTTTTTATTTATTTTGTTGATACACAAACGAACATCTTTAATGAAAATTTCTACTGCTTAAAGAGAGAAATATGCAACAAAATTATGTTATGTATCATAGAGCCAAACAGTACATATATGTGTATGTTTAATGATAACTCTAATGATGATCACTGACCTTAAAAAATTTCATAAGTGTGCCAAATGAAGTCACTGACATCGAATGCAGACGTCTGAATGAATTATTATATGCACTTCTTCTATGAAATTATAAGTTGGAAGTTATATTTTTGGTACTTCGATATTATAGAAGAATATAAAACTTAAAAAACTATAAAACACAACAAATTATAAAAAGGGTATGTATGCCAGAAATTTATAAACTTAGGTCAATGCAAAAATTTTAAAGTACAATATTGCATGTAGTTCAAGTCACGACCAAACGCTGTTAATTTAATGTAAATTATTATTCTAATGGCGTTTTTAAAAAATATTTGACGATATTATGAATAGTTTTAAATAGAGATATCTTGATCTTTAGCAAGCATTCACATGATTGGTAACATATGAGCAATACGCTGATTGATTTTCTTAACTGTACTGTACAGCTAGTCCTTACACTTATACTCGCGCAAACACTTAGAAAATACTTTATCAAATGAAACGAACTATTGATAATGTTTATGCGTGTGTGTATGTGTGTGTTTGTGTATATGTGTAAAATGCTTACTATGTCCTATGATGCTGAGGTGGCTGGGTGGCTGGGTTCAAATGCATACAACCCAATTAGTATACCGTAGATTTGAATGGCGCGTAGAGAGCATAGATGTTTGAGTTGTTTGAACCCAAATCATTGCAAATTAACTCCACCCATCTAGAACTATGAAGTCTTTATTACTGTTTTCAAGATTTAGTGATTTACTAGCGTATTTTTTAAAGATTGAATAATCACGTAAAAGTTAACTTTTAAATTTAAAAATATTTCATCTATGGTTTTCTGCTGCTTGTTACGTGTCTGTCCTCTCATTTGAAATTTTGATTTTTAATCATGGAGGTGAATTTACTCGAAGAAGATCGCCTAAAAGACTATGGTAGTTCTTTTTATTAATAAATTAAAATATATTGAAACAAGGCACAAATTTTTAGCATCTTTCGCGATACACCACACCGAGATCAATAATCAAATCAGGGAATCAGAAATACATTACCACAAGCACAACGGCACAACCTACTATGTTTTTTTAAATTAATTATTGATTTATTATTTATTTTCGTTATATAACAAACAGCTATATGGAGTGCTCGAAGGACAAAAATCGCTCTGGCAGTTGCCCTGATAAGATCATGCCCACCAGCTGTAGACGTTGAAGATTATGTGGTTGAGTTAGGCCTTAAGAAAAGAAATAAAATCAAGAATTTAGGACAAGAACTATCTAATAGTAAAGATGAATTGTTTAATTTGAATCAAGCCTTTATAAATCAATTATCTTTAAACTTTGGAGCAAAGACCAACAACACTGATGTGAATTGTACTAAGAAAAGAAGAGGTTTTTGTATTTTAATTTAAATTTTGTATCTTTTAACATCTATCTATTCAAGTTGAAATATATAGGAATTTTTTTCCTTCAAATCACAGCTAGAAAGAGAAAAGTTGATGTTACACCCATTAAGCAAGAACTGGAGGCCGTTAATGATGGTACTATTTCTGTCATCCATAATAACACCAACAACAACAACTCATCCAACAACAACAACAACAGTAATAATTTAAATTCAGAAAATGTAGAATTTGTAACAAATTTTTTGATCTTGAAAAATGAGATAGAGAACATAGAAAACATAAGAAACCTTTACATGAATAATGATATATCTATTCCAAATAGAAATAATATGGGTACTACTACTACTAATAAAAATAACAACAACAATAATAATAATAATAATTTCACTAATAATAAATTAATGGCCCATTCTGCCATCAAATCCATCTTGAGACACTTGTTCAAAATCAATCATAAACATAACAAAAGCTTTACCTTTAATAATAATAATAATAACAGTAATAATAAAAGTTTCAGTTTAAACAGTGCCCCACGCAGAAATATAAATTTGACAAAGTATGTGTGCTTTATAAAGTTTCTACGGTGTTTAACATTTTACAATGCTTTTGATTGCAAAAATGTTTTATTTTATTCATGCAAATTATGAAAAAATGCACTTCATAAGTTGCTATATAGCATTATTAATAATATTGTATTTATATTACTATTATTTTGATTTAAAAATAATGTATTTAATTATTAAAAACTAATTTTTCTTTTTTGTTACAGTACTAATGTGGCAATGCTTAGCGAAGCTGCTTTCGAAGTTATTGTCGAGGCAATCTCTCTCTTTACGTCATCCTCATCTTCTTCTTCCTCATCCTCATCTTCTGCTTCACTATCATCACTAATTTTGGACATGACACAACATTTAGAGTCATTTTTTTGGGAATTTATCAACAGACCATCTTTATCTCTAGTGTGTTATGTCATTATTATATTACAAATATTAGATGTTTTTTAAGTATTAGATGAGAGAGAGAGAGAGAGAGAGAGAGAGAGAGAAAAGAGAGAGAGAGAGAGAGATAATTTTTAAATGTATTATTTTACATATTCTTTCACTCAATCCAAATAAAAATTTAGCCACTTGAAATGTTAAACTGTTAAACATTCCTTAAATAGCGTTAAAAAATGTTCAGACAGAACAAGAAGCCAAAGATCTAAGGACTAGACTCTTGACTTTAGCTAAATGTAACAAACTCATTCAAGTCTCTCTATGCAAAGTACTAATTAGTGCCATCTCTAAAGTTTCACAATGTCTGAGAAGGAATTTGGCTAGAGATTTTGATATCTATGCTGTTAGTCATTAGATTTTGATAATAATAATATGAATGGTGACGATGATGACGTCATTTTTATTTTCGTCATAAAGCCATCAGCATCCTCTTCCTCATCATCATCCTTATCGAATGAAGTGAACGTCTACTGCATACTCAACAATTCGTCAATAATATTCCAGTACCTAAGAGATGTTATAGACCTCAAGGTTAATAAGGGCATATGATAAAAATTTGTCATATTTTGTGTGGATGTATGTTTCTGTATGTGTAAATGTGACTACATGTCTTTGTGCTGCTGTCAATATGAAAAATTTATTTCCAAATTTGAAACTTACATTTTGTTGTTTTTCAGATTAATATATCTGATATGAAAAATGTACGTGAAGAAGTTGAAACTGAACAGCAGGCAATGTTGTCATATTTGATGCAAAATAGCAGAGAGCTTATTGATCAGGCTATGTTGCATTTGATTAGTGTCTTCCCTTTTTATGCCTTCATGGTTTGGGAGGTAGGTAGCGCTTTAAATACGTTGACCATTTGACAGGATTCTGAGCATTTAATATAACATAATAAGAGAATAATGAATTTACTGATAAAAGAATTTGTTTTAGTTGTATGTCCGTTTTTGTGCCGAAATCTGTTCAAAAAGTTTTGAATTTTTTACTTTTTCATGTTAAATTAAGACGCATTTCGAAATATAAATAATATTTTAAAACAGTAAAGGAAAATAAAATGAAATAAACTGTAAAACAAAAGCCAGGTAAATATTATCAATAATACTTTGCTTGTGACCTGACGATCACTATCTAAGAATGGTCGCCCTTGTTTTTCTTAAGATAGTTCTCACTTCTGCCCGCTGAATTCAGATTATTAAATACATCATTAAATTTCTTGTTTTTCAGCAGTTTTTCCTTCAGCTCATCGATGAATTTGGGCTCTGTTTGAGTGAAGAGAGGATTTAACTGAGTTTTCTGAAATTCTCTTTTTCTGTTCTCCCTGTTTTGATTGGTTAACGAGTAGTTAGGCCATGTGTAGTTGCACGTTTTCTTTTCAGGCGCAGTGGTGTCTTCACTTAATTTTGGCTTCATTTTAATGCCATTTTCTTCCTCAGTCGGTTTACATTGCGTTTTGATATTTTTATTTCTTGATACTAGTGGAGGTAAAACTGTTCTTGAAGTTATAGAATTGCGCTTAATGCCCGTAACTACACTATCGACATCAGAAAGAATCGAACGATTTCCACGAGCCGAAGTTGCTGGGACCGAATTCGATTTGCCAAAAAAGGAATTTAAAAAATTTCCCTGGAAAGCGTGGTTGTTACGGTTGGGATCTGGATTGGATAGATGCGAATTTAAATTCTGTTTGAAACGTTCGTTAAATGTTGTGCAGGTAACTTTTGCTTTTTCGTTTTTCTTATTTCCGTTCATGTGCGTCATTAATTCTATGCCTGAAATTTGTGTTAGAACGTGTACGCGTGTGTAATGTTTCATATATTTGTTTAATATTGGTTTACGTTTAAACTTTAAAAAAGTCGAATTTCATTTAACTCGGTTAACATTTTATTACGCCGTTCATGTACATTTGTACAATGCAAAATAAAAATATATATTTAATAAAAAATACGTATAAGAATATATAAATGAAATAAATAAATATCGGTACAGTTTCATATTTTTAAGTATTTTCAATTTAGCCAAAAATTCGCTCGTACACATATCAAACAAGAGCGGATTTAAATACTAAAGTAAATTGGTATGGAAAAGGGATGTAGTGAAAAAATGTATGACTGACATGCAAGTATGATTAGCAAAGTGTGTACTAGATGGCAGGCAATCGATGTAACTGCACATTACAATATGAAAAATTATTCAAGTATTTCAAACATATCTACATTCATTGATTCACCGTTTCTCACTGTTCTAACTTTTGGGATGGACAGCTTTTAGCACAGGAACTGTGTGCAATTTTTTATAGCTACTTTTCACTGCTTTCGACTTAGGACTAGTGGAGAGCATTGACGAGTTAGGAATCTCAAAGGTATGAGGCGTAAAAAGGAGTGGAGTGACTTTTACTGACGTCTTGTTGGAATGCTTGCTGCTGTTGGAATTCTTACTCGTAAGTTGACTAGTCTGTTAACAGTTTATACAATTCTCAAATCAAAATAAAATGTGAAAGAATGAAATGTTTATAACATATATTTTAATTAATTTAATTTCACCTTTCCTATAATCTAACATTACACGTGTGTTCACGTGTGTTTTCAATAAAAAATGCTTGAAGAAAGTGAATGATAAAAAATAAATCGAACTTTAATAACTGACGGTATTTTAGAGTCCGACAACTTGTGAACTCGGGAGGTACGGTGAATGTTGATGTTTTCGTGGGCGTTGCCGTTAGATGGAGCACAGGACACGGGCAGTCCTTCGAAAAATAACTGTTTCTTCACCCAATCACGAACCCCAGACAGCGAGATGAATTCGGACCTCGTTAACCTCGTCCATGGGTTGGCCTCTTCCGCATCCAGAGCCGAAATTGCCAGAGCTCTTCCAACCTTGAAACGTAGGTATATAGGAAAACACTTTACCGACTTTTTAGCAACAATTCTTAAAATAAAATCTTGAAAAAATAACTTTCAAACTGAAAATTATTCTTGAAAAAAACTGATTTAAAAAATTAACAAAAGCAAGACCTCTTCAAAATGAGAGATATTATATTTCTGCGGTATGATACCGGTAGAAGGAGGTGGTGTGGCCCTGCCACTGTCACCAGAAGCATGTGGAATGAGGTTTGTTAGTCTACCAGTATTGTAATTGCACTCCAGTGTGTAACTATTGGTATTTTTACACAAAGAAACGACGTTGATATGTTGCCAGAAATATAAAAAACGGCAATTTAAATAAACATTTTGACTCAAGTTTCACCTGTTAACGATTCCGAGGTGTTTGAATATAGCGACCCTTGCTGAGCCTTCCTTGTTCAAATTTTCACGCTTGTCTTGCGCGTACATATTACGCTCTGTAAAGTTACAGCCGTCGTAATCTAGGTGGCCAGTATTCATGGAGACCAGTTTGGCGTAAGTCCTACATTGAATCTTTTGTTGTTAAAATGCATGTTTATGTGATATTTCATGACTTATTAGCTTGAGCATTTTAATTTTTAAAATTCATCTGTATAAACATTATCACCTGTTTATCGATGTCACCAAAGTGATTCCCATAGAAAAAGCACCCCTTCTTGGAAGCATGGGCATGTAAATCAATATAATAGGCTAGTCCACTTTTCTCTGGAAGGATGGTCAAATAAAATGGATGGCTGAGGTGTGGAGTTGTTGATACTTTCTGACTGACACTATTTGCAGAGAACTCGTTATTGGTAATTTTACTGCTAGAACAATAACTACTCGTAGTATCTGCAGCGTTGTCTGCATTTGTAAAAAACCGTTCGTGGATGTTACTAGGTGAGTCGATGAGACATGAATCTTGGACTGAGACCATATCAGAGAGAGCCAAGTGGTGTATTTGGCGCTGATTGGAATCCAGTAATTTATCGTCGGTATTTGTAACGCTGAAACAATCTGAATTTTCGTCAGGTCCTTTTTTAGAGCCAGCTACATTAGCGCTTGCATTGAAAACGTCACTTTCACCTTTTTTGTGCTCTACTTTGGATAACAACTTAACAAACGTTTCGTCATCAGAGACGGTTGAGTCAACATTACAACTACCCGAGTCTTTTATTATAGTTTTCCATACAAAATCATCGCAGCCTATATGGTAATAAGCTAGGAGACTTTTGCTAGCATAAATAGAAGGATAGAGGGAGAAGGTTGGATCGAGATAAACCCTGTTCAAATTCACACCATGCTGGTCCGTTCTGTAGAAGCCTCTACTCACGCCGTCGGGATTCAGCATTGGAATGAGTTTGAATACATATCTGATAACAAAAAGAACGATAAATTACTATTCATGAAAATATGATTAGGAGTTAAATAGTAATTATTTTAATTTAATAAAAAGTTAGTGATCACCTTCTTCTAAGTTCCTCAGCTCTTGGATCATTCTTCCTTAGTATAAAATCAAGGAAACCATTGAAAACGTGGCTAGATGGCGTTTCACCTGGATGCACACGACTGCTCACAAAAAATACCTGGCACCATTTTTTATTTTTATGATTATTATTATCATCTCATCACAGTAATTTAATAATTTTAACGATAAAGAAATGAATAAATGAAAACTTAATTGAGTAAAAAATTTGTTTTAAAAACTTCATTAGTAAGAGAGATGTGCACCCATATACCGGTGAACGAGATGGCGTAATGGTTAAAGGAACTTGCTCTTGCTGCTGGCGTGACAGGGCTCGAATGCTATGCAAGTTTGCCGTTCATACCTCAGAAGCACTTGCAAGAGAGAAAAAGAGAAAGTGGCCTTTAACCTTTATTTGAACATACTTTTTTGTTAGCAAACATTTTGCATCTCGGTTGAGTTTTATTTGGGAATAGGCATTTATCAAAACGTGGTTCCTCAACATTGGAAATGCCTGAATGATCTGAGATGGTGATTAGATCGACCCTCAGTCCGTCTAGAGAATGTACTAGAAGTTCTCTATGGTAATATATCATGTTTGACCTTGAAATAAAGGAGAAAGAAATTTATAAAACAGATAGAATGAACTTGAAATGAAAGCAACAAAATTTTAAAAATATAAAAAAAATTACAAATTTATTGACACAATAAATGAGAATTAATAGACACCTCATGATGAAAGTATAGTCTAATGGCAAAAGCTTTATGTCGAAGGCCTCTAATTTTGCTTGGCAGTCAGTGTAGGACCAAGGGTATGAAAATGCAAAGTATGTAATTGCCTCAACTTCAGAGAAAAAATGATGGAATGTAAGGATTAACTCTGAACCAACGGTCTGCAAATTTTAAAAATCAGTACTGGTGATTATTTTTTGAAAGAATGATTAAAAAAATATCATGAATATTGAGACAACATATATATGATAAAAAGATTTAATAAAAAATATTTTTTAAACCTCGTAACTTATCTTATCTTTAACTCTCTCCCACTTTTCAACTTTAGTATTGAAGCACTTGACTTTAAACATAGGGGTATAACCCTGACTATATAACTTGCCCTGTTTGTTCAGGTTCATTATGTTGAATTTTATAATCTTAAACTGTGGGACACCTGAAACAGAGAAGTAGAACCAAGTCCTATTAGGGTTGACATATGGTGTTCCAGCTGCATCCGGGCTCGTCCATAAGTTAAATTCGTAATCATAACCAACTGAAGAACAGAAATAAAATCATAATAGGTTAATTATTTAATTATTATTTTAATTATCAAATATTATTATTATAATTAACATGAATATAATTTATATAATCAACAAAAAATTATAAAATAAAAAATGTATAACTTTGCTGTGCCGCAAAGTCATTGTCTTGTTTCTTTGCAGAAGTAGATGACAGAGAGGAAGATTTATCAACCCTGGTTACAGCAGCCAAGTTGCCAGAGTCAAAATTTGAAGAAAATGTTATTGATTCAAATCTAAACTCCATGGCAGTATTTGAGTATTCTCAGTATTTAACTGCTACATCTAAGATCTAATAATTTTAATTAATAAATATATCTTATAAATTTGATAAATAAATTAAATATTGCAAATTATTGGTTGGAAAATTAGAAAAGTAAGCTTTTCTGAATTATTAATTATTAAATAAAATATTATTAATAATACGAAATAAAAATAGAATAGCAAATAGAATAACCAGCTAGTCTGTATTCTTGACATAAGTAAGGAGAAGAATGAATGCATGACATAAGTACTAATTAATTATTTAATTTATTAATTAAAAAGTAATTTAAATTGATTTTTTACATTATTAATTTTTGTATTTACTATTTATATTTACATAACGTTGTTGCCGTGAGAACGTCAAAATATGAATGACATCCTAGTGTAAAATAATGCATTTTAGAGTTGTTTAATTTGATTTATTATTATTCAGAAATCGTATCTTCATTTAAATATACCGCAACTAATGTGTGGAAAAGAAGTTTCAAGTGCGTAAACGGTCAAAATCATATAATCTACAATATCTTAGTTCTTTGCTTTTAAAAGTGAAGTTCAAATTTACATGTAAACTTTTTTTGACGAGAGCGAGATGGATTTTATTTCAATAAATGATGTGCCATCGAATGAAGGCCGGACTCAGGCTAGTGATAAAAAATTAAAAGAACGAAACAATAGGCCAGTGAAACATAAATTAGAGCAAAAAACGCCCGTGAAGCCGTCTAGTTCGTATAAGCGGCCCAAACCGAATCTCAGTGGGAAAACTTCCAAACAAAGAAACACGCCGAAAATTATCAAGTTGCATCAGGAAATTAAAGATTTTGTAAATATGGCCGCTCCAACAGCAGAAGAAAGTGAAGTGCGAAGTCAGGTAATCGCCAAAGTGACGAATGTAATTAAATCTCTCTGGCCGCATGCCACTGTCGACATTTTCGGTAGTTACCGTACAAACTTGTATCTCCCTTCTTGTGATATTGACCTCGTGGTTTTTGGAAAATGGCCGACGAAACCACTTTTTACTTTGAAAGATGCATTGGTAGCAAAGAATGTCACCACAGAAGAAAATGCCAGAGTTATTGATAAAGCAACAGTTCCCATTATCAAAATAATAGATACCAGCTCCAACATTAAAGTTGACATTGCCTTCAATACAGCCAATGGATTGAACAGTGCTGATCAGATTTCAAAATTTGTATCAACTTACCCTTCAGCCAAGCCATTAATTTTACTCATGAAACACTATTTGGCGCAACGAGATTTGAATGAAGTATACAGTGGTGGGGTCAGCTCGTATGGACTGATGTTGATGATTATCAGCTTTCTACAGTTGCATGCCAGAGGTGATGGCCTAGTGAAGGATGCAAATTTAGGTGTTCTTCTCTTAGAGTTTCTAGAACATTATGGTTGCCATGTAAATTATCACAAAGTGGGCATTGAGTTTTTGAAGGCCGATAATTCTGACGACATACCGCAAAGTCAATATTTTCGAAGGCCTGAGCAAACAGCTTACAATACTTTTAGCCTTCCTATTATGGATCCTTGTTCACCTGAAAACGACATTATGAGGGGCTCCTTCAACCTCTTCTCTGTTCAGATGGCATTCAAACATTCCTTCAAAGTTCTAACCAATGAAATCTACATTGGGAATGTTTACGATGACGAGGATGAAGATGGTAATCGTTCCAATGAAGATGAACAAAGTAACAATGGTAAATCAACAAAACACAAACTTGTTAAGAATAAAACTACTTCAGATGATTTTTATTTGTTATCAAAAATTATGGATATTCGTTGCCGATAAAAACTGTTTTGTGTTATTTATTTTGTGTATTCTGTTTCATTTTTCAAAAAAAAACGAGCCATTTTTATTCAATTTTGATATTTTTAATATTTTGTTGTAGGAAAAAAATTGTATTAGTCATGAAATAAAGAAAAAGCAGATATTAATGAAGTGGGATTATGAACAATTTGTGCTCATTTTTGATATGTAAGACTACTTTTTAACAAAATAACAATATTATGAATTAGTGAATTTTTTTGTTTTATCACTATTAAAACATTAAAAAAGTATATAAGCAATATCACCAGAATACAACATCGTTAACAAGATAATATTAACTGGAATGTGAACCCAATAAAACATGTGCACATGACGTTCATACATGTACATGTAGCTAATGTCAACAAATGTATATTCATAATCATTTTCGTTATATTTCGTTGTTGAGATTAGCTAGATGTTAGTACTGAGAGGTGGTCCTTAGGTACTCCTTTCCAGATGGCACCTTTTTAACTTGGACATCTGGAAATTTCGCTTTTGCATCTTCTTGGGATAAACCTGGTTGAACCATACACGGCTGACCAGGCTAGTTAAAAATAGTTTAAGAAAATATAAAACAAATATAAAACCATATAAAACAAATTAAGGCACGTCGTTTGAGTATTTTAAACGTTTTAACCTAACATCTACATAAGTTATTTATCTCCATGCCTTTTCAACTAAATTTTACAGGTGTGCAATAAAGATGTAGTACAGCATAGTAAAGAAATTTTCAGACCTTCCAATCGACAGGTGTGGCTACAGGTTTGGCTGCCGTCAACTGCAGTGAATCAACAACTCGCAGAATTTCACTGTTCATAGAAACATTTCATTAAAATATAAGCAAGGAAGAATTTTTTTAAAAACAGAGTTTGTGATGTTAAAGTAATGTAATCTAATGCTTCAATAAATAAGCACATTTATTTTCAAATAAGATCGCACAAATATGTTGGGACAATGCAAAAAATTTGATGAAAATATTTTTTTTTCTATACAAAAAAACTGACTCAAAATTTCTTCCGGTTGTAGCTGGATAAATGATTGAAAGTTTCAGTTTAGTATCTGGTCCAATGATGAACACCTGAAGTTTAAAAATACATTGCATTATGAATAATTAATGTCGTTTTTATCATGTTTTTGAGAAAGTTTTGATAAAATTTGTTTTAAAAAAATATTGATTTGAAGTTCTAACAGCTCTGGCAGTCAGTGGAATTCCTTTGTTGTCAATTTCGTCAGGATCAATCATGCCTAACTCATTGGCCAGCTTCCTGCTTTCATCGGCGATGATTGGATACGGCAGGTTTCCAGGCATTTCAATATAACTCATTATGTCCTTGTCACATAGTGCGTGTTGTTACAAATTATAAGCTAAAATTCATTTTTAAAAACTGAAAAAGATGTTGTTATAGTGTAGAATGCTAATTAAAAAATAAATTAATGTCAAAAAATAATTATTGAGAAAAATAGCTGGCTTAGAAGTTAGCTACATAAATCAAGCACAAACAATAAGAAGAAGTTATAAAAATTTAAGCATAGTACTTTAGACCATCCTTTGTGATCTTCAACTGAATCACAAGACAGTGCAATCAGTTTGACACTCCTCTTCTTAAATTCATCAGCTAGTTGGACCACTCTGCCTAACTCAGTGGTGCACACTGGAGTGTAATCTTTTGGGTGTGAGAACAAGATTCCCCATCTTGAAAAGTTATTATAAATAAATAAACTTTTTAGATATGATTTATATTATATGCACTATCTTTCAGATTTTATAATTTAAAATAAAAAATTTATTATATAACCAATGATTGAAAGCTTTGTGGGAAATATTTTGTGGAAGTTTGTGTATTATATATATTCATATTGTATAGTAGTGTGTACACTTACGAGCCATTGAGCCATTCATGAAACTTTATTTCACCAATAGTTGTTTGAGCAGTGAAGTTAGGAAAGACTGACCCAAGCAAAACAGACATTGTAATCTGCATCACATAAAAAATTAGTTTTTAATTTTATGTTTTGTAATATCACACAAAAGTTACTTTACTATTTTTTCACACATAATGAACATCAGTGTAGTTACTTGATTGTAGTTAAGTGTAATAAGAATAACTACGCTATTATAATTAATTATATTATATTATAATAATTATACTATAGTATAATTATTATATTGATACTACGGTAAAAAATAGTTTATGCAGTAATTTACAAACTGGTTTAGTTGAGACAGAAATAGAAAAAGTATGAAATTTATGAAAATTAAATAGTTTATTTTTTATCTATAGTAGTGACAATAAGCAAAGAAATACAGCTGACTTTGCTTTAATTAAACTTTGACATTACACAACACAACACTAAACACACATAACATTTATTTAGCTTCCTAATTTAAAATAAAAAATTTTAATTAAAAATTAACATTGCGGCCTACTTACTTGAAATCTACGCAAAAAGTCTGTTGGATGAACTTTGTAATTTTAAGTAGCAAGTAAAAAAAACTTATTTTTATGCCAATTATGAACCACTTTCACACAAGAAACCGTAAAAAACCGACCAGCACGTGTGAAAAAATTAGCACGCACCTTGATCTGTTGATAGAAGGATGACGTTTTCATCGAAAATGTTCAAATTTAAAAATTTTTATGATTAAATTGAGTTATTTTAATTAAATTTAAAGTTTAATTATAATTTTAAAGATTTTGAAATTTTTATAAACAGTTGTTTTTACACTTTTTTTTTACGCTTAGTCAACGTTGCACAAGTTTGATAGTTCAATTTTTGTAAAAAATACCATTCTATGCTTTGAAATATTTTTCAATGTGATAATAAGCGATAATAGACCATAAACAAACAAAATCGCAACGTACTTTAATTTATATATTTAATTGTGGATAATCTTAAATTAGTTTATTAGTTAATATTTTAGTGAGTTAATTTTTAGATTGACATGCAGAAAAAAAGGGAAAGCGTTTTTAAGAGTCGGCCGGAGATGCCGAAACTGCAAGAAATTGCTGAGGACATCTTGAATTCTCAGACAGACGACGTCTTGTTCACAATTCTTTCTAACAATGAGGATGACGTAACAGTTACTAACCAAGATGGTGGACGTTCATTGATTGCTGGTTGGTTGAATTGCTGTCATGAAGATTATGATTTAAAAGTGGTTATTAAATTTAGTTCTATAATTATTATAAAATTAAAAGCCAATTTTATTTAATATTTTTTATTTACAGACCACAGTAAAAAATACAAAAAACTCATTGACATCTCTAACTTGAAGAAAACTGAACAACTTCTTAGTAACCTCAATAAACTCAAAAGTAAAGACCGCCTCCAAACGAATTCAAAAAATTTGGAAGATTTATGCCAGCAGATTAATGACATTTTAAATTAAAAAACCCATATACATTGTAATTCAATTGAATTATGTAATTTGAAATTATTATTTTTAATTTAAATAAAATTATTGTTCTTTGTTTAGAAATGGTCCTGGGCATAACATAAAACTGCATCCATGCTGCTTTGTGTGCTTTTGAGCAAAAGGCTAGGCGCTAGGCCCACCACTTATAACTGGTGGTTGTCATCAGGATGGGTGTCTGGATGTATAAACTTTTCCCCAAATTATTCTATGCCATAACAAAGAAAAACAACGGTTCCTAGTTCCCAGCAGGCCTTAAGCGGTCAAGGGGTGCTAAGAATCCCTGTGAAGTATGCAATAGTGGAGGGATGTTACAGAAAAATTCAGAATGGCCCCTCTATCGTACTTAGACTTGGAACGCTCAATGTTGGATCACTGACTGGCCGCAGCATGGAAATTGCAGAAATGCTTGAGCGTAGAAGGATTGACATCTGCTGCCTTCAAGAGACCCGATGGAAATCGAATGGTGTCTGTCATATCAACTCAAACAAAGAAAAACTCTACATCCTACCTCGGGGAACTGGGTCTCTGGACACTAAACGAAGATTGATTGATTGATTGTTTTGTTTAATAAAGCCATAGTTTGATTGGCTTACGAAATTGCATGGATTTCCCCAAACAGCAAATGCAAAATATGTATGTACTTGACTAAATATTTTTAAAACAAATAATAGAGTCGAATTTTGAAATTATTTTTGTCAATTTTAAATAAAAATATTGCTTTTGGTTTCGAAAACTCGGTGGTTAACCAACCACTTTTTCATTCATTTTCTCACTGAATTTTTCCAATTATTCATTCATTAATTGAATCATTGATTGATTGATTTCTTCGTTCATTCATTCATTCACTCACGGCACGGAAATATATTTGTATTCTTTTAACTTCCATACCAAGAGAACAAGCTCTTTCAAAATCTGGAAAACTGATAAGCATAAAAAGAAATAGCGAGATAGTTCAATTGAAAGGTGTGCGTGTTTAAATGATTGGATAGAATTACTAGGCTAATAAAACTTGTGTACATGTTATTTTAATTATATTTAGAATAAAATATTTTTTAAATTCGCTCGCGTTATTTCATTGATATCGATATTGGGGATATTCGTATATAAAACGAGCAAAATTTTAATATAAAAGCGCTTATAAATCTACGCATATTGGCTCAGCTTGGCTTGGCTCGGCTTGAAATTGGATGTTAAGCTAGGTGTGGTCTCAAACTATTTGGAATACTCCAAGAAAAATTTGAACAGCGTGCGAACATATGTAGCGCTGCTTTTATAATGAATTTATATACTATATATATATATATATACAAAGCGAGCAAAATTTTAATATAAAAGCACTTATAAATCTACGCATATTGGCTCAGCTTGGCTTGGCTTGAAATTGGATGTTAAGCTAGGTGTGGTCTCAAACTATTTGGAATACTCTAAGAAAAATTTTAACTACGTGCGTACATATGTAGCACTGATTACTGTTGCTTTTACTATGAATTTATATAATATATACATAAAGCGAGCAAAATTTTAAAGCGCTTATAAATCTATGCATATTGGCTCGGCACGGCTTGGTATTGGATGTTAAGCAAGGTATGGTCTCAAACTATTTGGAATTATCTCCGATATATATATATATATATATATATATATATATATATATATATATATATATAAAGTAACTAGAATCCATGTATACAAATAATTAATAAAATTATATGTTTATATAAAAAGCAATATAGCAGATTCTACCAGCCAACCAGAATGTTTCAAAGGCGTTCGATCGTTGACGTCAATTTAGCATTGTGGTTAAGACTGTATAATAGTGTAGTACATACATTAAATAAGTTTTTTACAGATGTGAATAATTGAAATGATGAGAATGTATGGCTGAAACGAGTATAAATAGGAGCTGAGACAGCATGAAAATCAGATCAGGCATTCTGCCTCGCTTAAGGCTTGAAGCGGTCTGCCTGATCTCATTTATTTTATTTATTTTTTATTTATTTTATTATATAGAGTTGCGCGGGCTATATATGTTTGTCTGTGGTTTGTATGTTTGTATTTTGTATTTTTTTAATTTTTTTAATTTTAGGTGGGTTCTTTAGCGGTTGCTCATACATACATACATACATCATGTTTGTTTGTGTGATAATATTTTATGTTCTGTTTTACTCTTTTTTCTCTTTCTTCATGAGTCTTGAGTTAAGTTAATGAAACATAGGTAGGTGAGATTGAGATTAATTTATTATATAGGTAGGCTAGAGCGTAAGGTAATTTAGTTATATAGGTAGGTTAGGGACTTCTATTCTTTTACTCTTGGCGGTGTGTTTTTCGTTTTGTGTTTTTTTTTTGTTTTGTTTCACATCATACATACAACAGGTACGCGGTAGTTCCTGATTTTGGTGGGAATTTTATTGATTGAATGTGGTAGTTTGCATGGTTATATAGAGTTTGCGCGGTTATATAGAGTTATATAGAGTTATATAGAGTTATATAGAGTTATATAGAGTTATATAGAGTTATATAGAGTTATATAGAGTTATATAGAGTTATATAGAGTTATATAGAGTTATATAGAGTTATATAGAGTTATATAGAGTTATATAGAGTTATATAGAGTTATATAGAGTTATATAGAGTTATATAGAGTTATATAGAGTTATATAGAGTTATATAGAGTTATATAGAGTTATATAGAGTTATATAGAGTTATATAGAGTTATATAGAGTTATATAGAGTTATATAGAGTTATATAGAGTTATATAGAGTTATATAGAGTTATATAGAGTTATATAGAGTTATATAGAGTTATATAGAGTTATATAGAGTTATATAGAGTTATATAGAGCATAAATCCTATATAGATACCTTTCTTTGAGGTTCTTTTCTTTGCCGACCGGTCGGCTTCTTTGCGTTTCTCTATTTTCATTTAAATTAAATAAATAAGATTTTTCCATTCATTTAGGTTCATTCAGGTTCATTCATTCAGGTTGAAGCTTCCATAAGAGTTCATCGTGGAAGATCAGAATGGTTGTGATGTCACGCTACGTTCGTTCATTCAGTGGCGAAAAATGCACGCCTGGCTGGGGTTCGTTTTACGGTTTCTTTGTGGTTCTTTTTGCCAGTTGGCTGGCTTTTCCGGATGGCGGGTTTCACCGCGGCTCGTTTCTCTATTTTCATTTAAATTAATTAAATAGCATTTTTCCATTTCATTCAGGTTGAAGCTTCCAGAGGAGTTCATCATGGAGGATGTCAGGCTAAGTTCATTCATTCCGTGGCAAAGAACACACGCCTGGCCGGGATACGTTTTATTCTTTTTTCTCTGTTTTTCTATGTAATTTAACATTAAGTAAGAATGCTCACACGCACACACATACACACACAAATACATTAAGTAGCTATATAAGTAGGTTAGATAGGCATAATTTTAATTGTAGGTAGGATAGATAAGAAGCATCCAACACTAATGTAGTTGAATAGGTAGGCGTGTAAGTTTATCGCTTCTATTTTTTCTTGCACCAACATTACACGCGTCAGCGTATTACACACACACACAAATACATACATAAACACATATGTTAGTATTTGAGCGTAATTTTATTTTCATTACACATTCTAATTTATTATTACTAAGGTTGAGAGTAATTTAATTTTATAGGTAATTAAGGGCAATAATGTAATTCTAGGAACAATCTTGTAATGTAAATTAAAACGCTGTAAGTGTATCGATAGGTAGGCTAATATAAGTTTTACATTATTATTATTATGTTGGAGCCCAAGGCATTACGTAGGTGGTGGGGTGGGCGCCGATTGGCTAAATGAATTGGGCTCTTGAGTTTTGTAATTTTAGGTAAGCTAGGACCGTAATGTAATGAATAGGTAAGTTAAGGCTACGTTGTAACACATACTCATTAATAGATTTAGGGTTTAAGTTTTATATTATTATTACTAAGTTGGAGCCCAAGGCATTACGTAGGTGGTGGGGTGGGTGCCGATTGGCTAAATGAATTGGGCTCTTGAGTTTTGTAATTTTAAGTAAGCTAGGGCTTAATTGTAATGAATAGGTAAGTTGAGGGTACGATAGCCGATTGACTCTGGATTTCAAAGTCTCTTGTCAGAGGTAAGCCTTGGTGGCCAATGGTGAACCGGCAATGGTTTACTATCCGGACGGCAATGGTTTACTATCTGCACGGTTATGATTTACCATGCGGCACGGCCATAGTCTACTACCCGCACGGCTTCCGGACGGCAAATGGTTTACTATCCGCACGGCAATAGTCTACTATCCGCACGGCAATGGTTTACTATCCGGTGCCCTGGCTGTCGGTGAGCCTCTGTGCAAGGAGGGAGAAGGAAGGGGGACTTTCGACTATCGTACCATTAATAATTTAATATATATTAGTTAAGGTAATTGAATAGGTAGATAGGATTATTTTTATTAAGCAATTTGAGATGCAGGCACTGCTAAGCTTTCTGATGAGAATCTTCTTTATCTTTCTTCCTCAATACGGACTGTGTTTCAACAACAATCTCGGAGGACTGGCATCAGCTTTGGAGGACAACGTAGGAACCGGAAAGCATTTAACATTCTGCCTTTTTCAAATGGTGAATTTTTTTACATTTCACTCTCTTTATTATTTTAAAATATTATCTATTTGCCATTATTTTCATATAATTTTTTGCTTCTAAGATTTTAACATTCATTTACTACTACGCTAATAAAAAATTTTGTCTACAGAATGATGAGAGGTGGGCAGTGGTGGGCGTCAGCACGTTTCAGATGGTGGTCTCTCATGATGATTTACATATGACGATGGTGGTGTAGAAAGAATCAGCTCGTTGGCTGTTCGACTGACACTCTGCAGTTCGGATGACATCTTTGTGCCGACCAGATGGTGATGGTCGGTGCAATGGAGTACAGTAACGACGAATTTTGAAGTAAGGTTTAGTTTCGTTTTTTTTTATTTTTCCCCATTCATTTATTTTCTCACTCAATATTTCAAATTATTTAATTGACTAATTGATTCATTCTATTCATTCGTTGATTCATTGATTGATTAATTAATTAATTCATTCATTCATTTTATCTATCAACCAATCATTCATTCGTTTGTTCATTTACTACTAAGCCAATAAAAAAATTTGTCTACAGAATGATCAGAGGTGGGTTGTGGTGGGCGTCAGCACGTTTCAGACGGTGGTCTCATGATGATTCAACAATATATCAAGATAACAACAATAACAATAACAGAGAAGAAGTTTCTGGAGATTACACGCGCGCACATTTACACACACATCAAAACATCAAAACAACACACACATACACAACATCCATTCATTCGGTGTCGTTGTTGTTATGTTTCTCTTCAATTTTCTATTCTCTTTACCGGACTTTAATTTAATTCGTAGGTAAGTTAGGGATTGAGATGAGTTGAACAACCGTAGGTAGGCTAGGGCTTAACATTAGTTCAAAAGTTTTATGTAAAATAAAAACGCTAAAGTATGTAAAATAAAATACTTTAGTCATGTAAAATTTGTAGGTAGGTAGGTGAGTTGAGTTAATCATTATAGGTAAGCTAGGGCCCTGAGAGTAATTTAATTGTAGGTAGGTGACTGACTACTATTCTTACGACATTTTACTATTTTTTTGTGATGTTTTTGTTTTCGCTTCACACCACCATACCAACACCAACAAATCAAACAAATTTTATTTCTCGTAGTCGCTTTAAATTTTACTTTTATGAACATTCTTTCATATAATTTTCTCCGAGAATGACTAATGATTGTACATATAATTAATAATTAATTATTTTTCTTGGATGATATTTCGTTATGTTTGTTTGCTCAAAATTCGAACGTTTTTAAATTTTCGTCATTTTTTATTTTTGAATGATATCAAATAAAAGGAACTGTTGTGTTTTTCTTTCTAAAATCTCCAAAATGTTTGTAGATCCGTACGGTTAAATGTTTGCGCTTCAGCGAACATCAGAAACTCCTTTTTATATTTTCATAATTTGTTCATTCAATTTGCTGGTTTATTGATTTCTGATTGATTAATTGATTAGTCAATTGGTTGGTTGATTAATTCATTGAATGAATGGTTGATTAATTGATTTGATTGATTGTTGAACTTTTAACGGTACATCCGTCAATACACTCTTTATAAATAAAAGACGACGGTTCCTCACGCCTCCCACTGCTTTCATTTGCGTAGGGAGAACGTTCAGAATGTAATCCAGCAGGTTATCCAACCGGTCCCGGTCAAAGTCAATTTTTAACGGGTACTCCATTGCAAAATTTTTAAAATTCAACGAAATTAATTGAGGATTGAAAATAATTTTGATGAAATTTGGGACGGCGAAACTGACATTTCAGAAGTTTAAATTAAAAAATCAATAAAATACAGTCTTATTTTTTGTCTTTTTTAAATTATTAGCTAAGAAACTTATACATACGTAATTATAAAAAAAAAATTGTTTCAATCTTCTAAATCTATTATCACCTGATGCAAATATTCATTGTAAAGTTTATTAGAGTTACATGCATTCTTGTTACACACGCAGACCAATTTCTTCCTGATATTCCAAAAAGGTTTAACATTCGCCTCAGATTTTTCCTTGGCTTCTAATTTCGCCTTCAGCTCTGGGTTCTGTTTTGCAAGACTCTCTAAACCTTCGAATCTATTTATCCGAGAAATTTGCTTGATATAAACTTCATCTTCGATGGTCTTCAGCCGGCACATGTTGTTGGCATTTCTTGGTGAATATGTATGATTTTTCATCGTTAAGTTGTGGCAGTTTCTATTGACAACAACCTGATAGGGTGTGACTGTGTGAGTCGTTATTTTTATTGTGTTATTGTTGCTGTTGTTATCGTGTTACTGCTATCAATAATAATAATAATAATAATAATAATAATAATAATAATAATAATAATAATAATAATAATAATTATAATAATAATGGGAACATCCTTTTATTTTCTAACTACAAATACCAAATATTAATAATGAAATAATTATATTTATTTATATTATTATAAATATTATATATATTAAATATTTTTATTTATAATAATAGTGATAATAATAATGATAATAATAATAATAAGTGTTATTAGTTAGTGTTAGTAATAAAAGTGTCAGTGGTTAGGTGGTTTTGTTGTCAATTAACTTCGATTGTTATTTTAACAGCCTGTATTCTTTTTAAATGATGGTAGGATAGGTACTTGACTAGTCCTAGCAGTGATGTTATATTTTAAGTTACTATTTTTTAATTCATAGTAGTAAAAGTAGTTTTGCTACAGCCTGGCGGAATTTGTAGCACGTGGTATAAAGAATGTTGACGAAGCAATCATTTCAACAACTGCAAAACCATCAACAACAACAACAACAACCATCAACAACAACAACAACAACAATATTTATCGCAATTTAACTAGAAATCTGTAACATCGGTGACAAAGTTAACACCTCCTCTAACCATTATGCCTGACAAATGAAACGGTGCATCTGACGTTCAGTGACGAACCGCAGTACTTCAATTGGGTCCGTCTGGTCTCTGGGCAGTCCCTACATATGAAACATATTCTTGAGAGAACCTGGGAGACCAGAGCCAACGTAATTAACGTTACTGCTGTCGTGTATTTTGATGCATCGTGTCCCTTTAGCATTTTTAGGGGAATTTTTTAGAAATTTTCTGAAAATTTTGTTTCTATTTTTGATTTTTGTCGATTTGAGATTTGAAAACACGATGAACAATGGACAAATTGTTTTGGTTTTTTTTTAAAAGTTTATTGATGACGTGTTAACTGACAATTTCAATGCAATACATTATGAGTCGCTATTTTATTTAAAAACACTATGATCATAATATCGTCCCTAATGCATTGATTCAAGTAAAAGTCAATCAGTTAAAAGTTTTGTTCGAAATTATAAATTAACAATCGTATTGTTTGTATAATCAATTGTTTGATCATGTTACAACCAAAGCAAAAATAGCGTCATGCGACATTTAATGAAAGTGGATCAATCCAGAGTTTCCTCCTTGATTCAATCCTCCGTTGGCGTTGAAATTTCCAACAGTAAAATTGTTCCCGACGGAGTAAGCCTTCCCATTCATGACATTCCTGTTATCTTCTTCGAATCTGAAGTTCGACGTCGGCTTGTTGTTGCATGCCGTGTTGTGCGCGCTCAAACGCAGCACAGTTTCTCCGCCACACACTCCATTCTGCCCGCACGACTGGCCCGATGCAACCCCAACTGCTGAAGCTGAAAGAAAAGGTGAAACGGCTGGCTGAGATGAAACCCAATTTCCGTTTTGAGGAATGAAGTTACTGGCCATCTGCGGTTGAGAGTTGACGATAACTTTCGATCCAGCTGAATATATTTGATGTGTTGGTTGGGAGCAGGCAGTTGAGGCACATGCTGCCGCAGGAATTGATTTGCTATGGTGCAAATCAAAGAGGTGGAAAGGATAATGATGGGATTGTTTAACTTGAGCGCGTTCATCCGGTTGAAATTGCACGTGGGGAGTTGTTACTTGGTAAGTTGTTATCCCTCCGTCACAAGGTCCATAGGTCAGCTGGGGCAACTCTTCTTTCGGCTTCGGTTTCGGCTTGTCCGGATTTTTGACCACAGCAAAAGATTTGGACTGGTAGGGGCTGGTGCGTACCATTCTTTTCTTAAAAAATTTATTCATTCAAATTAAAAAATTAGAGTTGGAATTATGAAAATTAATAAAGAAAAAAGAATTATGTACACACCTCTAAATCAGGAGGACAGCACAGCGAGCAGCACAGCAAGCAGTGCTAATGAAAAAATTATTTCACGTTTTACTGAAGCAGACAGGTGTTAGGTGTTTGATAAATATTTATGTATCGATCTTGAAGTAACACAAATTTGGACTTACACTTTCTTTTTTTTCTCCCCCACAGCAAAAGTACCAGCACCAACTTTTCTGATTTTTGAAAAAAAATTTGCTTTTTAATTATTATATAAAATTTCTAATACCAGACTCTCACATACGTGGAATTTGTTGCAACACGCAAAGCCTAATGAAATGGATCTTGATGGATTTATACAAAACAAAATAATAATTGAACAGACAAGTAAAACTATATGAAATAAATGAGGCAATCAAGCCATTTGCGAAAGAAAGCATCCGATCATCTGCCTTAAATGGGCAAAAGTTTTGGCAATTTAAAAAAAAAAAATTTCGATGGAATGTTCATTTAAAAACATTTTTCTTGAAAAATTATTTGTTGAAATAGATAAAAAAAAACTAAATAAAATCATTTTTATACCATTTCACGGCCTTCGTGGCAATCATCATCATCCACCATCACAATATCTCTCTTAGGTTCAACTACCTGTGTAAGTTTTTTGTAATGCTTCCAATTAATTTTCGGTTAAGTCACATTCAACTAATATTTAAAGATATTAAATATAAAAAATAGAAAGTGAAAAATGTATTTTTCGCGAGCGAAATTTAACGAATTTATAAAATACATTAGCAATGCTGGTGAATCCAGTTGGAGATGGATTGATGACCAAACTTTTTGGGTGCATCATAGCACCATCCTGTCGAATTTTAATCATTCATTGTTAATATTTTTATATTTTCTTTTCTTTCCAAAGAAAAAGAAAGAGAAAGAGAAAGAGAGGAGAGAGAGAGAGATAGAGAGACAGACAGATGTGACAATTTTCTAAATAGACGCATAAAGATATGATGAGATTGCGAGATATAAAGAAGTAGATAGATAGCTAGATATACAAAGATAGAAAGGAGAGAGAGAGAGAGAGAGAGAGAGAGAAAGAAACAGAGAAAAAAAGAGAAGAGAAGAAAGAGATAGCAACAATTAGCGAGATGTAATTTAAAATTTTATGGCTGAAAAATGTTTCCTAAATCACCTCGATAGGCGAGCCATGAACGAGAAAGGTTGGCTGCTGGTGCAACTGCGGATGGTGTTGGCAATGACAGTTCCCACCCTTAGTAGGAAAAAAGTAAAAAAAATGAAGTTTATCTAAAAATTAATTAATTAATTAAATTAAATTAAAATATAAACAAGATATTCGAAACAATGAAATGTAATGTACGTTTCTCAGACGTTAATTTTTATACTAACATGGAAAACGTTCGGCTTGCAGGCAAGATGAGACATTTGCCCTTTCTTCACGGCGCAATCACACTAATTAATTAATTAATTAATTAACTAATTAAATAATTAATAACTAAATTACTTATTGAAATAACCATTTAAACAATTAACCAATCAATTATTTAATTACAAACGTTGAAAAGTTTTCAAAATCGGTAAGTTTCGTTTAGAAATCGATAAATTTTAGCGGACTAACCATGCTGATCTGTCAACTATTCAGCCAGGGATACCTATATAACGTTATCTTAACAAAAATTTTATTTCATTAAATAATATAATAATAATAACATTGACAGATTAAAATTGTAAAAATATAATCCTAAAAAAATCGAAAATATAAATAAAATCCAATAAATTCTTTACGAAAAAGTACACAGAGCAGC